TAAAAGAGAAACGCATCCCCCAATAGCAATCCATGCCAACAACAAGATTTTTTAAATGGTCTGATAATTGCAGTATTTTATTTTTCCTGAGATAAAACCATCAGGTCTCATGCCTCACAGTCTCATGGGGGGGAGGGGCAGGGCAGGGAGAGGGATTTACAAATTTACAACTGGCTTATATCAAACATAATATAAATATATAACGTAATATTAGAAAAAATAACCTAATAAAGGGATCGATATGAAATGCATGACATAATATTATGTTTGTAACAAATATAAGTAATTTGCCAATCCCTAATTGCATACCAAGTAAAAAAATCAAAGGATGAGAGAGGGTTTATGTACTAAAACAGAGTAAAGCACTTGCAATCTTCTAAGATAAAACATTATAATGCCCCTCAAGGGTCCTGACTCACAATTTTTCTACTATTTCCATTCTATACTATGGCAATTGAAAAAGCAAATCTAAAGATGGATGCTCTAAATGATATTTTTAAAAAAGAATTTTTGACCAGAAATGTTACCTAAGAGTGAGGAAAGACCAAATATCATCAACAGGAAAAAAACCAGCCACCATTCACTTGGAAAATGTAACACTTGTATAACTATTGCTCTGCACCTAAACAGACCCAAACCCATACATCATACATGCAGTCTACTCGATTCAGAGCACTATTCAGACTGAAAAAACAGGAATTTCAAGTCAAAGCTTGATGTTCAATTCCATAATAAAAAAACACACTGGGATGAGTTAGAAAGTAACACTTGACCTGTGAGTATTGGCACACATCTATGTAACCCCAGTATGAGGAAGTTGATTTGGCAAAAGGGAGGCTGATATGAGTTTAAGGCTAACCTGAACTACACAGCAAAGATCTCCTCTTAAAAAGGGGGGGGGGGGGGGAATATGGGGATTTAGCTCAGCAGCATAAGCGTCTGCCTTGCCAGCAGGCAGTCGTGAGTTCGGTCCCCAGTACCAATAAAAAGGAAAAAGACAAAAAAAAAAACATACACACACAGATGTAAAATCAGAGTCATAGTAGCTGGTTCTTGGTGTTATTTACTACAGGAGTAATAACACTGGAACATACCACACACCTTTATGGAGTCTGTTTCAACAGCCTACCCCTGGAACACAAACCTAAACTGGCACTGAAAGCTTTATATATTTTCAAGTGCAATACACAAATGGAAAGCATTATTCACATCTATAAGAAGCATGTTCTTCCAGCAGTCAGTCTGAATGAGGAACGTGTATGAAGAGCAATTTTCAATATTGAGTGTCCATGATTAATGACTCTGGAGGTCCCACCCACTGCCATCCATCAGCCCAGGGATCAAAAGCTAGACTACAGACACAAAGGATTAATATATAAATTCTGTATCACCCTGTGGGACCAAAATTGGACCAAATGACACCAATGGTGGTGCTTACCCCTTCTTTCAATTGCTAAACGTTCTGGTCTCTATCTTTTGGAGTAGCCTAAACATCTCTGTAATTCAAGAGATAAAAAGTCAGGCCTTAAGGCAGCTGTGGTGGCACAGGCCTGTAATTCCAGCACTTTCAGGTATGAACCAGGAAAATTGCTACAAATTTGAGGATAGCCTGAGCTACAAAGTGAGTTCAAAGCCAGCCTGAACTGCAAGGGAAACCCTGTCTCAAAAAAGCAAAAAAAAAAAAAAGTCAAGCCTTGCTGGACAAAGCAAGTAATCTCAGCACTCAGCAGGCTGAGACAGGAGGATCACTGTGAGTTCAAGACCAGCCTGAATTACATGCCCAGACCCTGTCTCAAAGAGGAAGAAGGGAAGAAAGGGGTAGGGGGAGAGGGAAGGGAAGGGGGAGGGAGAGATAAAAAGAACAATCTATAATAGGATCAAATGTAATAAACCCCAGTTATATGCAATATAGCAAGAATTTATCAAAATAATCAATATTCTAATACATATGTAAACACTACACCTATTCCCAAAACAATCTCAAAACAAAAATTCTGGGCCAGGGATTTAGCTCAGTGGTATAAGCGCCTGTCTGTCAAGAGCAAGGTCATCAGTTTGCTCCCTCGTACAAAAAAATTTTTAAAGTAAAAATAAAACAAAATAAAATTCTTCAGGAGTGAGAAAAAAAATCACAAAATTAAATTTTACTTTGAAGGAGTTTATTACGAACCCCCAATACCAAAATATTAATATACCTTAGTTATTCAAATCAGAAATGCATTCATCACAAAAAGCACAATGAAATGTCCATGCAGCATGGCCATGCATAAATGCTCAGTATGCCCTCTAAACCAGTTAGCTGAGTACTCTTCTGCCCAGAAATAAAACCAACATAGAGCAAGGATTTAAAAAAAGTGTTAACATTTGCTGCCTTCAACCTTAAAGTCTACCTGAATAAACAGAGTCCCAGGTAACCAGTGTGTTCCCTATGTTCCTTGTGTATGTGTACAGAGTAATACACAAAAGGCCACAAGAGAACCAGAATTCATACCCAAAGCCAAAACAGATTAGGTCCCATGGAAATCATTCACAAAATTACTGCTGCTTCTTTAAGATCAAACAGGTAGGCATGTTTCAACTACAACTTTCATGGGTTGAAAAATGACAGATTCATCAGCCAACACTTACCACACCACTACATGACTTTGTTTTCACATCCAGTTTCACCAACCCAAAGCCTTCAAAAAGAGCAAAAGATAACAAAATGAATCTTTTGTATAAAAAATGCTTATTTATTGCTGACAATATACTTAAAAAGATTCCACATATCCCCAAGGGAATAAAAACCCATTTATACAAAACACACTTAAATGAAATTTTTAAAATTAGTTCTATAGGGGCTGGGGATTTAGCTCAGTGGCACAAGCACCTGCCTTGCAAGCAGGCAGTCGTGAGTTCAATCCCCGGTACCGATAAAAAAAAAAAAGTTAAAAAAAATAAATAAAAATTTAAGCCAGGCATTGTGGTGCACCTGTAATCTCAGCTCTTGGAAGGCTGAGGCAGACGAATCACCAAGAGTTCAAGGCCAGCTTGAGCTACATAGTGAGTGCAAAGCTAGTCTGACCTACATAGCAAGACTGTCTCAAAACAGAAGAAAAAAATAACTAAATTAAAATAAATTATACATCCAATTAGTAAAGGACAGAACATCTCTGTTGCTTAGTCCAGTGTTGGTACATAACTCACCCCTCCCAAAATGCTTTCAAACCATTTTTAACTCTAAATATCAGATTAGAAAACCATATGACTGAAATCTCAGCCATCACCAATACCATCATCACAACAAAAACATTTGGGACATTTATCTAAAAAGGGCACCTTGAATAACATAAGACAAGAAGATTTCAGAATAAGATCTTCAAAAAGGAAATTAAAATGAAAAATGCTTCAACTCTTTAAAGGGTATTAGAAGTGGTACAACCACAAAAACAAAACAATAATATACAACCCTAGTCAACCAAAGACTAAACTATAATGGAAGAAAATAAAAGCACAAACTGCTGTCTCAAAAGTTAAACTATAGTTTGAAACGGAAGTCAGCTGTAATAGTTAACAGACATTTAATCTAAAATGTAGCCACGTGTGATGGAGCATGCCTGTGATTCCAGTGCTAGGAGACTAGGGCAGGACAACTGCCATGAGTTCAAGGCCAGCCTGTACTGTGAGTTCAAAGCGAGGCTGAACTATGTATCAAGGCTCTGTCTCAAAAAATTAATAAAAATAAAATAAATAAAATATATCCAATAAGGAGTCAGAGGAGTTTAGGTCAGCAGCACAGGCATCTGCCTGGCAAGTGAGAGGTCGTGAGTTCAATTCTTGGTACCCAAGAAAAAAAAAGTATCCAATAAAAGAATAAAAGAAATGAATTTAACTTCCCCCAAGTAATCCAAGTACACATTTTTACTCCCTCCCCCTTCTGTGAGGCAGGATCTCACTAATTTGCTAAATTTCCAGGACTGGGCTCAAACTTTGAATCATCCTGCCTCAGTTTCCCAGAATGCTGGGATTACAGATGCACACACCACAACGCCTGACACATCTGCATTTTTGTTCTAAAATTAATTTTCATTCTTGATATAAAATTAAAGAGAAAAGGTTCTTACCAAATCCTTTGTTGAAAATATCTCTGGCAGCTTTGCCAAGGTCAGCGTATGACGGAGGAATACACATTGCTGGTAAGCAGAAACAGTCCAGTGTTAACTATGTTCTTGTTTTCCCACCTTCTGTACAAGAACCCAATGCTGATCTTTAAATTCAAGCAGTTCAATTTGCTAAAAATATGGTTCTGATACCAGGTGGTCACAATAAAGCTGTACTCTAACAATCCATGATGGAGATACCGACAAGAAAGGCTTATTTCCAAAACAGATAACCAAGTACTTACCCAAACTTGTGAAAGTTCTTCCAAAATAGAAAGTCTCTAAAATTTAAATTGTCCAGAACCTCACTTTATTGGACAAGCCTATCACAAAAAAATCAAATTGTGTGTACATGCATATATAGCTCCAAAACTCACTGGGACGGGCTGATCTAACAAAATTCAAAACTTAAAACTAGGTCCTCTCTCCTTAACTATATCCCTAGTTCCCTGAGATCGAAACTAACTCTCAGTAAGAAAAAAAGGAAACTTAGAGCCGAACATGGTGGCTCACGCCTGTAATCCCAGCACTTGGGAGGCAGAGGTGGGAGGATAGTTGCAAGCTCGAGACCAGCCTGGGCTACAAAGTGAGCTCAAGGCCAGCCTGAACTGCATAGCGAGACCCCGTCTTAAAAAAGACAAAAAAAGAAAGAAACTTAACACCCTGGGAACTTAAATATTGAGTCTAGGAAAAATAAAGCCATTTGCTTTTTACAGAACTGTCCACACCAACTGAATATCAAATAGCACTTTAAACATATTAATATGTCTCTCAAGTTCTCCACCAATGCCGCGCGACTTAAGGTCAAGCAATCTGAGCTCTCGCAGCAGCTCATTCATTCTGCAGAGCACATGAGGCCCTTAGAAGCACATGTAGTGCGTGACCTTGAGTTCTCACTAGGATGACAAGTACTTCCTCTAGGAAAGTGACCGATGTAATTCTTAAAGGGAGAACTCAACAATGTATAACTTTTTGCTCTCAGTTCGTCCCAGGTACGTCCAAAACCTAAAGGTAGATGCGACGCAACGCCTGGGCCCGGTTCCTTGCTCCGAAAACCGGCAATCCAGCACCTCCACCGCAGAGGTGGAGACCAGAAGACGTAGCGGTCACCGAAGGGGGCTGAATTTGGCGAAACTGGGGCCAGAGGGAGATTACAGGAAGGGAGGTAACAGGCTGCCGTTTTCCGGTCGTCCGGTTTAGACCCCTAGGTCGCCACCGCCCAGTCTCGCAGAGATCCGGTCTCTACTTACGCCGCGCGCAAGTCTGTCCGTGGTTCGCCATGGCGAGGTCGCTGGAAGAGGTGGCCTGGGGCGGGGACAAGAAGAGCGGTCAGTGGGGGTCAGAGGAGAGTCACGGGGGGGTCTCGGGCAGAAAGGGGCCAAGGGGCCGGGGGGCAGCGCGGCCATCTTGGGGCCAGAGCCAACTCGAGTCCCACTCAGGCCTCCCGCTTGGCCATCGCGACCTAGATGCCGGACTGGTCGTGAGACTAACACAACGGTACCTGGTGGTCTCCTGACGGACGCCGCCGCCGCCGCCGCCGCCGCCCCTGCCGCCGCTCGGATCACTCCGGCTCGGGCTGCGGCTGCAGCTCCTGGAGGGCGAAGTGAAGGAGACACCGTTCCGCCCGCCGCAACCCCGTCCTCCCCCAGCCAGGACCCCGCCGCTGCCCCTCAGGGCTGCCCGCCGCGCCTGTCCTCACAAGGCCGTCCGCTGCCCACTCCAGCCTGCTTCGGAGAGGCCACGTGAATCTAGGGCACCTTCACCCCCGGGGTAAGCCGCCTCCGTGCTTCGGCAGCGGTCAGGAGAACACAAATCTCCGGGCCTCGACTCAGGCAGCGACCGGGGCAGCCCCAGAGACGAAGGGGCGGGGAACGACGGAGGGCGCGCAGAGGAGCTCGCGCGGGCGGGGGATGGGGCGGAGGCCCCGCGCCAGTGCGTCACGGGGGCGGGGCGTCGGGTGGTGTCACGTACACCTCTCTGCAGCCTTTGGGGCGCTGGCTCTGGCTGCGCAAGGCGGTGGTCCTCCTAGCTGCTGAGGCTTCGGGTGCGTTGCCCGTCTGCCCTGAACTGATGTAGCTTGAGCCTCTTAAACATCATCAATGTCTCCAGTTTAAAGAAAACGAGCGAGGCGCCACCTGCAGGCCCCGAGCCCTTCCTGCACGTCCCGCACCCACATGGGCGACTCTGTCCACACGCGGAACTCGGACTGTGGCTGCGGCGGCGACCCAGCCTGCCTCGAGGCCAGGCTGGTGAGAGGCCTGGAGGAAATGTAGGAACCAAGCTGACCGAGCATTAAATTGCTGAACCCAAACTGTCTGATGCGCTTGCTGGAAAAGTGGGAAAGCCAACGGAATAAGAAAATGATCAGGTCTATTGGGGGCTGGGGATTCAGCTCAGAGGCATAAGCGCCTGCCTTGCAAGCAGGTAGTCGCGAGTTCGATCCCCGGTACCGATAAAAAAGAAAAAGACAAAAAAAAAAGAAAAAAAATGATCGGTCTAATGAGCCAAAATTGGCATCAATTGGGGCTTCAAATCAGCTACCTACCTCAGTTATCGAGCTCATTTATCCCAGTTTCATCATCGATAAAGGGGCTAGGTTAAATGAGATCTCTAATAGCCATTCAGCAGATCTCTAATAGCCATTCAGCAGGGGAGGCCCAACTTCATTTCCTTTACCTCTAGGTTCTCCTCTCCTAAACCTAGAAAATGATAGATAGGCTTCCACAATCCAAAACCTCAAAGCTGCAACCTGCAACCTGGTAGATTCCTACAGCCAAACCTAGCTGGCTAGCTGGCAGTCTCATGGCTGGGTTGATTCATGTAAAAGATGAGAAGAAGGGGCTGGGGATTTAGCTCAGCGGCATAAGCACCTGCCTTGCAAGCAGGAGATCGTGAGTTTGATCCCCAGTACAGATAAAAAAAAAAAAAAGATGAACAGAAAAGTCTAAGAGATCAGGCTCCAGAAGTTTGATTTGTTCCTCTGTTCTTGCTTAGACACGTCAGCCTGCAACAGCCTGGCTCCACTGAGAGCCAAAATGCTCTAGCTGCTGTCACTGTTACTACTACAAGGCTGGTGGCAGGCACCAGCGTCCCTACACCACCACCTGCCAGAAAAGTCCAGTCCCTACTAGATCAGTTAGCTCCCCTATCTGCAGCAGGGCTTACTCACATTGTGAATCATCTAAACAATGTTGTTTAACCCTCAGAGAATTTTCATCCTCTGCAACACCCCTAAAAATGTAGACCATGCTTAATGACTGAGGGAAGTGCTGTGGCTAAATAAGGAATTGTAGAAAAGAGATAATTCTCTCCTTGCTCATTATAAAGGTTCAGCGCTGACATATCAATACATACATACAAAAAAAGTCGATGATTGAGCATAGTGACACACACCTTTAATTCCAGGCCCTCCAGAGGCTGAAGAGGAAGGATCACCATGAGTTCAATTCCAGCCTGAACAACATAGTGAGACCCAGCTACAAAAAATCAAAAAGAAGCCATGAGTAGTGGCACACATCTGTAATCCCAGCACTCAGGAGGCTGAGGCAGAAGGATTGCCCTGAGTTTGAGGCCAACCTCAGCTACATAGTGAGTTCAAAGCCAACCTGGACTACATAGCAATTCCCTGTCCCAAAAAACCAACAACAACAAAAAAAAAAAAACCAACAACAAAAATAGAGAATGGACTAATGAGCTTTGATGATCAAAGAAGGGGACAAAATACAGAATCCAGTCAGTCAAAGACGGAAATGGCAAGGAAACAGATTTTCCTCTCAGATTCTCCGCCAGAGCAGGTCATGATGTATGGAGATCCCTTTTCTGTCTTGTCAAGGTCCTTGAAGTTTAAATTTGTAATCTAATGGAAGTGTATTGGAATTTTAGCGAGTTAATTCCAATCTACCACTTCTAGTGCAACTATGGCAAGAATAAAGACACTAAGACATGTTTATAATTATGAGGGGCCAAGTTATCCTGAGTCCAACCCAGATGATGGTTCAACAGAACAAAGACCTTGACCCAGAGCCTAATTTTATGAATGTTATTAATTTGTGAAGAAGAGAGTGTCTGGAGGATGAGTGACTATGAGAATGGCAGGAGATACGTGAGCACTGTAAGCTGGGCTAGGCAGGATGCCTAAAAGCCCTTCTGCAATATACAGAAAGAAAGATACACAGAAAGACCAATCCACATCACACAGTTGAGGTAGCATTTAATGTTTAGGGGGCTGGTGCTTCAGCTGTGATGTGTAAACCTTTGTGCCCTGGGAAGGCATAGCCTCTTATCTCAAGTCTCAAATGCAGTGGATGGCCCTGGAACAGTGACTCTGTCATTCCACCTGGCTCAACTGTGTTTAGGGAGATGCTGAGGCAGGAAACAGTAACTGTCATCTGGCTTCAAAAATTATGCATCAGCACCTCAGCCAGCCCAGTTTACATCACTTAGAGCCAATTGAAGGGAAAAGGAAATAGTTTAGCCAGCTCTGTGCATATCAGTACATGGAGACAGGGCTCAGTTTAGCTAAAGTGGAGGTAATTGCTCTTCATTCAAGGACAGTTGTCCAGGTGATCCTCCACAGTGGTGGTATATACCTGTAATCCCAGCACTTGGGAGGATGAGGCAGGAGGATTGCTGTAAGTTTGAGGCCAGTCTGAACTACATAGTGAGTTCAAGGCCAGCTTCAACTACATAGGAAAACCTTGTCTCAAAAAACAAAAAAATAGACTCTCCACAAGATAGCATCCTTGCTTCAGATTTCTGGCCTGCATAACTATAAGAGATTTATATTTGCACTGCTTAAACCACTAAGCTTACGGTGATTTGTTACAGGAAACTAATAGAGCTATATATACCACTGGGACATGAGATGCCTTTCACACTTATTCTCTTGATACAGGATATATGGAATAGAAATACTATATGGACCTCCAAGTCCATAATATAAGGGAAATATTGTAACTCCCAACCTGCTAGATGTCCAAAATGCTCAATTCATGTTCTCTGAGATCAAGGAATGAATTCTAGGAACAACAGAAGTTAAGAGAGGAAAAAATTTATTGAGAGAAAGAAAGCTTCTGAGACAGACAGAAGGGTCCTGAAAGTGGGTTACCCAATGACTATGCTTTTAAAGGATGTTTATTGAACAAAGCCACAAGGTGAGGTGGGTTCAAGGTGGCTCAAAACCATAGTCAACTAATAAGATTGCAAGTATAGTTACTTAGGTAATATTGACTCGTTGGGAAGTCATAAGGTGGATGTGAGGTGGGACAAAACTATGGTGAACCAATAAGATTACAACAAGTATAATGGCTTAAGTAATATTGATTAAATGGGGCTCAAACGGGAAGCAAGCCACTTAGCAAGCATACATAGAAGAAACAAGGATTTTCCTGGAAAGAATGGGCTAGGGAGGTTTTGGTCCCTCCCCCCAAGGCAACGTGCTCATTTAGAGCTCATCCCCAGGGGAAGTATGTGAGTGGAGTTGTTCCTCTTTCTGTTGAAGCCTGGCCTTCAGTGAATGAGCCTCCAGTCATGATTGTCTTCTGTGCGCAGGCCCAGGCATCACTGCCTGTAATATTTATAACTAATTTAGCTGCCTGTAGTACTCTCAAAGTGTGCATTGGATCTGTCAAAGGCTACACGATGTGACATTGCAACAGACTGAATGCAGGAGCAGGTTGCAGAAGCAGACACTGACATTTGCAAAACTGTGTCACTCTTTGCACATTTCTTTTTGTTTTGAAAAGTGTTATTTTTCATTAACAACACCCCAAAAAACACCCATAATGGTCTCAAGCCGGGCACAGTGGTACATGACTGTAATCCCAGAATTTGAGAGGCTGAGGCAGAAGGATCACCAAGAGTTAGAGGCCAGAGCCGGGTGTGGTGGCTCATGCCTGTAATCCCAACACTGGGGAGGCTGAGGCAGGAGGATCGTTGCAAGTTCAAGACCAGCCTGGGCTACAAAGTGAGCCCAAGGCCAGCCTGAACTGCATATCGAGACCCTGTCTCAAAATGACAAAAAAAAAAAGAGTTCCAGGCCAGCCTAGACTACATGGTGAGTCCAAGGACAGCCTGGAGGCCAAGGATATAGCTCAACAGCGCAGCACCTGTTTGGCAAGCATAAAGTCCTCAGTTTGATTCCCAGTACTACCCATCCTCAAAAAAGGACAGTCTGGAGTACACAGACACTTTCTCAAAAAACAGCAGTAAGCCAGGCCTGGTGGCACACACCTGTATCCCAGCACTCCGAAGGCTAAGGCTGAGGAGGGTCTTTGTAAGTTTGAGATGGGCTACAAAGTGAGCTCAAAGCCAACCTGAACTACATAGTGAGACCCTGTCTCAAAAAGACAAAAAAGGGGATTTAGCTCAGTGGCATAAGAGCCTGCCTTGCAACCGTGCAATTGTGAGTTTGATCCCTGGTTAAAAAAAAATAATAATAATAGATCTGTTCTTTGGCATTTTTAATAAGTTATATATCTTGATTTTTTTCCCCTGTTTTGGGAGACGGGGGCTCTAGTTTCTATGACCTTTGCTTTAAAGAAGAGAAATCCTCCTTTCTATGGCATGCCTTGGGTTGAGGGAAGGGAGAAACTTTGTGTGCTAGGTGTTCACTTTTGAGTTGGACACTTGGATTCAGTGAATATGTATATGGATGTGCTCTTATCCAGTTCCTTTCAACCAAGGTTGTGGAGGTAGGGTTTGGAAGCCAGGGGCTCCTGCATAGAAGCAGGATTTTTCCGTTGGTTTGGTTTCTAGGCTGGTTTTGAATTCAGGACAATCCTCCTGCCTCAGCCTCCTGAGTGCTGGGATTATAGGCATGTACCACCACATCCAAGTTGTTTGTTTTGTTTCATTTTGGTAGTGGGAATCAAAGGACCTTGCTCTTGCCAGGCAGGCACTTATGCTACTGAGCTGTATCCCTGGCCGTTTTTGTTTTTTGAGGCAGTGTCTCTATATGTAGTCCAGACTAGCCTTGAACTTCTAGCAATCCTCCTGTCTCAGCCTCAGGAGGGGTAGGGTTACAAGTGTGGCCTACCACAGTCTGGAGGAAGCAGGCTTTTTGAGTGATTTGAGCAACTGCCTTGTGACACCCTTGTGACACTCAGAACAAAGTCATTGAAACATAGTTGCCACTCTCAGGGGCTTCCAGCCAAGAGTATGCACAGGAGTCAGCCACCGTGAAGGGCCCATGACTGCACCTGCTTGCGAGCTATGGAGTTAGCCTGCCACAAACTCAGATTCCTGGACAACAGCAGCACCTGAGACACATGAGCAAGAACTGAACACAATTTAAGCTTTCCATGCACGTAGTTCTTGTCCTGTGTCCCGGGGGGATGCAGAGCAGATGAGTTTAGGGACCCTGACTTACAAGGGGCCACTAACAAACTTGCCCAGCCTTTGCCCCTGAAGGACACAGGATGCTACTCAGGAAACAAAATCTGTCCTCCACTGCAGAGAGCACTCTCCCTTGCACACTTTCGGAAGACAGGGTGAGGGGAAGGTAACACCATGGGGAATCATCCTCCAACAAACACACAGAACAGCAAAGAGGTCAAGGGTTGCAAGTGCAGTTTTAAGAAATGAATGTGCAGCCCTGGCTGCTAGAGGGCCGACGCTGGCCTTGAATTCACAAAGATCCTCCTTCCTTAGCCTCCCAAATGCTGGGATTTGCCACCATGCATGGCCTCATTTGATTTTGATTTTTGGTTTTGAGAAACAGTTCACTACATAGGTTAGGCTGTTTGGGGTTTTTTTTTTGTTTGTTTGTTTTTGTTGTTGTCATTTGGTTGATTTTTTTTTTTTTACCTTTTTTTAAATCGGTACCAGGGATCGGACTCACAACCACCTGCTTACAAGGCAGGTGCTTATGCCGCTGAGCTAAATCCCCAGCCCCATTTGGTTGAATTTTTTTTTTTTTTTTTTTGTCTTTTTCGTTTTTATCGGTACCAGGGTTTGAACTCATGACTGCCTGCTTGCAAGGCAGGCATTTATGTCGCTGAGCCAAATCCCCAGCCCCCATTTGGTTGATTTTTTGAGACGGGGTCTTGCTGTGTAGTTCAGGCTGGGCTTGAACTCACTGTGTGGCCCAGGCTGACCTTCCTATAGCGATCCTCCTGACTCAGCCTCCCGAGTGCTGGGTTACAGGCCTTTGCTACTAGAACTGGCTAGGGAGCTCTTTTAGAGAAGCCAAAAGAGGGCAGCCTCAGGTGGGACTGCTGGACAGTGTCACCTAGTGAAGGGAGGTGCAGGCAGGTGACAACGGACGGAGCATCGGTGACGATGGTGTGGAACAAACAGTACTGGAAAGTTTCTGTGGATCATGAATTAGGGACTGGCTTAGCCCGGAGGCTGTGGCTCGGAACCTCTCGAGAGGCGACAGTCCTCGGAAGGGCTGACTGTCCTAAAGGCCTGTTGCTGAGACGACCCTGCATATACCCCTGTTTCTCACCACAGGTGCTTCTGTGTGGGGCTGCCTGAGTACCCTCGTGACATGGCAGCAGGTGACCCAGACACCAAGACTGAAGCTGCCATTCCTTCTGTCATCCAGCCTCAGAGATCACGCTGCCCTGTCCTGTTGTGTTTTAGGAGCGAATTCCTAAGAGCAGATCACATAAAAGGGCGGGACACAGGCTCCCTCCTGCAGTGTGTTCAAGAGAGTGTGGGGCCGCACAGCCTCCCTTCCGGCTGTGTCTGTTCCCGTGCTCCACTCAGACCTCCTGATCTCCAGCCTTCGTGGCAGCATCAGGAGACTGCTTGAGGTAGATCCTTAAGTGCGGCTTCTCTAATGCAGTTTTTTTTTTGGTACTGGGAGCCAAACCCAGGGCCTTGCATTTGCCAGGCAGGTGTTGCACCACTAAGCACCCTGGTCCCATCTCATACAGTTAACCAAAGGAGAGCTTCCAGCCCGACACATGGCGCGAGAGAGGCCCCTGCTCCAGCAACGTGCGGTTC